AAGCTTAATGAATGTAGGAGCTATTCACTTCACTAGGACTTTTTTTGTATGAACTATGTTATGCTGATTGAGTTGTCCTATGAGCCTATGGTTCTAAGCATTCAAACCCAGAAAACAAATGTGGATAAGTGTTTGGTTATATCTTTATTTGGAACATACTCTTTAGATTGCAAAGAATATTAAACACTTATTTCAGATGTGATTTACAGTAAAATCAAACTAAAGAATTACTTATAAGTTATTGCTTGATCAAAATAAACATAAATGTAACAAAATATACCTAACTAAAAATGCAAAACCATTTTCTAAAGAAAAATATTCTTATTTATGCTACCATAATTTTTTTTGCTGAAGTACTGGCAAAGAGTGTAAAGTTCTATTGTGGCACAAATGGATAAAAGCAATTTTTGTTTAATAGTTTGAGCAAGATAAATTTAAAATATTTACATGTATTACTTTTAAAAATTACAGTAATTTTCTCTGGAACATTAGCTTGCAAATGCCAAGAAGAATCCCAAATCCACATACTGTAACAGCTGTTCTCTTCAAAAGTCTACTCTTCCATGGCGACACTTCTTCCACCAAGGGTATATGTGTAGGATCACTTTCCCGTTCATTTTGTAGCTAATTTTTAGTAGAGAAAAAAGTTTAAAAACCTTTATTGTTAAGAATACATTAATGTTAATTCACTAACTGAGAGAACAGACACCTCAAGATTCCCAGAGAAGACTTAAAGTGAACACATGGTTTTAAAAGACAGCCTTATCTTTCACCAGGATCCCAATATATCAAATTTTTGTTCCACATTAACATTACGGTAAATGCACTTATACATTATCACATTCTAAAATGGTGTTTTATATAATGATAAAGTTCCTTTAACGTTAGTCTTAACTTTCTATTTTTACATATGGGAAGGGACAGTTGACATATTTTATTAATTGATCTTATAAAAATGAATCAACTTTAAAGCAAACTTACAATACATGAAGTTTGGCAAAAACTAGATGATGAGATTCTGATGCTAGAACCTGAATCTTTTTCTTAAAAACAGTGGGAACAAAGGTCAATAGACACTTACATGACACTTCAGCACTTTTATAGCAATGAAAGTACATGATTGAGTTTCTAAATATGACACATAGAAATTTCTTGCTAAAAACTCCCCCTAGACCCCTAAACACCTACACTGCTTTTGCATGGTGTGTGTGTGTGTGTGTGTGTGAGAGAGAGAGAGAGAGAGAGAGACAGAGAGAGAGAGAGAGAGAATGAACGAGAACAATATGGCCGTTGAGAAGGTAGGTCAGGAAAGGGAGAACGAACAGAAACCCAAAGATCTTGGATTAGGAGAGTTAGGCACATTTATTGAGTGCTATTTACTAAAAACATCCTGTGCTGGAGTGGTGATATAAATACTTTCACCAATGTAGGAACAGGCACTTCTAAAATCTACAGGGTAAATATTTAATTAATAAAGCTTGCAAAATTTGAAATGTAAAGCACAAAAAAGAACTCCAATGTCAATCTTATTAACTGTAATCTTAGTCTAACTTCCAAATGGCTTCATTCAGCAACAGATTCCTTTCTGACACTGATGCTCCATTTACTGAATCCTGAGACAGTCATTCCTTTTATTAACCAATTACAGAGAATGACCCTTTCTGACAAGAGCCTGTCAGTGTGTTGGTTTGAAAGAGAGCGATGTGGTGTTAAAGTCTAGCCTTGACCTCTCCCACCCTCTCTCTTTGTCACCTCCATACACTTGTCTGTGATAACTCATAGGTTTCTTTCTTCTTCGTTTTACAAAAATCCCCCATCACCCACTACTGGTAAACTTTTAAGTATAAAAAAGTTAATAGGCATTGCAGTTTACCCCCAAACCTGGAAGCTCTAAAATTCCCTGAATCAAATCTCATTAAGTTGATTACCACTTGTTAAAGAATCCAGAAAATTAATCCAGTGACTGACTCCAAAATCAAGGCTTGCCATAATTACAGACCAGTAACCATGTTTTCAAGGTTAGCCCTTGCAAGGAAATGTATGAATTAAAAGGAGGAAAAGTTACAGAAGGAAGGTCTTCCATTTAGCTAAAGGAATGAAAAATTCTCCTTTACAATTAAGCATTAAAATGTTATGATATCAAATAGGATTGTTTTAGAGTCAAAGGCAGACCCTAGTGTTCCTTAATTTAAGAAAAATCTATTTCTCTCCCTGAAATTAATTTTATATTAACGCTCTAAGTCTCCCCTCCCCCTGCCTGTTTAACTCATCTTGGAGAAATCAAATGGTTCCATTGGGTGTCTTTGTGATGCAGAAAAGGTGTTCATATGAAATAGTCCAGATTTCCTTGGGTGTCTATTTAAAAAGCACCAGGTTAAGTAAAATCAATAGTACACTCTGTCAATCTCTCCAGACGAGATGGGCGAAGACGAACGCTGCTGTAAATTCTGTGTTGCCGATAAATTCAGTTGCTAGCTTTCTTGAGGGTAGCAAACTATTGCCTTAATGCTTGCTGAATGAATAAATATCAGAGATAACACAACTTCTAACTGCCTTTCTCTGGAAAAAAGAGCTCTTTTCTACAGAAATCATGAGTGTTTTGTTTAGTTGCTTCATTTATAATGCTTTTTTGTAGAATTTATGTCTCAATTTTCTTCTCACTTTAAGACTCTTTTAATTATATATATAATAATAGCAATTATAACAGATTAGCCAGAACATGCATAAAGTTTGTTTGCAGGGGAATAACTTTTTGGATACAATGCTAATTTAAGTGACTTGAGGGTTATAAAAATAGAGCTATTAAAACTTAATGCATAAACTAATCTCACATCCATTTATTTATCCAAAGCTTTATAGATACCAACTTTAATTAAACAGATTTGGAAGCTCATAAATGAGTTGTTTCGTTGACTGAAAGTGTTTTCCTTTTTTATTACCCATCTTCAACAAAGTTTCCCATTTCAGGAACTTAGATTTTGCTTTCTCCCCTTTTTAGAGCGAGAGAGAGAGAGAGAGAGAGAGAGAGAGAGAGAATGTCACTATTTTATAATCCAGGTAGGCACTTCTTTTATGAGTATAAAACTAAAGCCCACATTCTTTAAAACAATTATTACCCCTTTTGCCCTAGTTGTCTAATGGGAGCTTAAGTTTCTCTTATCAGAGTAGCTTCATTGTTTAAGACATTGCTATAAGCGATTCTTAGTTTTTTACCTTTTTAATGTTAAATAAATACCTTCTGAATTAAGTCTTTCAGTCTGCAGACCTCTTCACTCAAACCTTCAACATTAGTAACCAGTTCTTCACAAACAGAAGTAAAATTCCGGGGAGAAGCCCATTCTAGTACTATCTGTTAATATTTTCAGAAGTCATATTTTAAAGAACGGAAAAAAAGTTTAACAAATTAATAGCCACACAGAGTAGAAAACATTTTGAGCATTAACTTGTAATTTAAAAACATTTTTTCAAGATAAATCTTGATGGCAAAAGAAAATCGGTAATTCTAAACCAACAATCAAGTCAGTTTGCTGAAAGTACTTAAATATTTTTGTTGGATAAATGAATTCATGAAGGTTCACAAATGACAAGATTCTCACATTAATGCTATATACGAATTATAGGAAAACAAGCACCTTTAAAATCTTTTACTATAGGCAAGTAGTTAAAACTAACCGACATGAAAACGATAAAATAATTTTACTTTTACAGGTCACTTACACTTTATTTAAACATTTTGTTCATTAAATATCTGATAGTGATCTGTTTTTTTAGCACCATAAAACACTGTTTTGTTTCAGCTTTCACTTGGTTCTTATTTAAGAACAAGTATTAAGTTTAATACACTGATCAATTTAATTTTTAATCTGACTCATTTTCTTTTTGAGGGCTATGAAACAAAGTTTTCCAAGTAACTAGTATGTAATGTCACAGTATTTATAAACGTATTGACTTTATTCAGATTTTACATAATTTTGTGGAAGAATAGATACAATTTAACCAGATCAGTACTGTTTCTGAATATTTATGAACTTGTTGGAAAGGTTCCCTGATAGTCATGCTGTTTTTCCCTTAGTAAATGTTACAGAATACCTTGTGAGAGTTTACAGGCAACTCCGTTATGATATTCTGTACGGCTGTTATTAAATGGCCACACTGTTTGTTCAATTTCAGAAGGAAATTGAGGAACTCATCACCACTATAGGGAAAACAAACAACAAAAATCACCAATAGAGGCAGGTTACTCACTCAAAACCTATTCATGAAATTAGATTCTTTCAAAAATATTTATGGAATAGGCAACATATATTAAGGACAGATATAAATATTAAGAATACAAAGGAAACCAAGTCTCCCATCTTGAGGATCAAAGGATCAAGATGAGGCTTGTAAATACAATTATAGCAGCTGCTCAGAGACACAGGAGAAGTGATTGATGCAGAATGTGAGTATTTACTATGTATAGATAGTGAACTTGGCACTGTATAAAGTCTCCGGTGAAGTGACTACCTCTGTGAGCTAGATGGAGCCCTGGTGCTGTCAGGTAAGCATTGGACAGCTAACCCAAAGTTCACTGGCCCAAACCTCTCAGCAGATCCTTGAGAGAGAGATGAATCTGCCTACCCTCATAAAGATTAGAGTCCTGGAAACCTCATATGGAGTTCCTAACAGTCAGATGGCACTGGGCTTTTAGGGTGAGCTAGATGTTAAAACCTCGATTTCTAGTTAAGACACCAACAAATGCACAGTATGGTGGGAGGAGGAAATCAGAAAAGCTTTAGAGTGATAATAATACGTGAGTTGAATATTGAGTTTCAACAATAAGTTTGCCAGTTACAAAATGAAAGGTAGTGTTTCCAGATGAAGTGAATAATACAAGAATAGAAGGTGACCAAAGTATGACTACAGCAAGAGTTATGGAAACACAGGGAAGCTGGTTTCAACTGGCTTTTAAAGGAAGTATGTGGCATGCTAGGGTATCAGGTTCTATCTTTTTGATAATGCCAAGCTATTTAAGGATTTTAATAAAGGTGGAAATCATACTTCTGTATTAGAAAGTTTACTTGAGAAGTGGTATAAGTAGGATTTTAAAAATCCACCTAACAAATGAGGAAAGAAAGCTTAAGTGGAGGATCTGCTAGACTGGGCCATCACTCATGAGTCTGTCACACTGTGGGGCCTTGTGTATTGCAGGGATACCAAGAGCAAAGCAACCAAACTTCCAACACCAGCAGGCTACCGCGGAGGATAGGTTCTGGCAGAGCTTCCAGATTGTTAAGACTGCAGAGAAGGGCCTGGCGGACTACTTCTGGGGAAAAAAAGAAAGAAACCAGGTAGTGAAAACTATATGAAGCAGCGGAGGAACAGAAAAAGGGGATTATGTGTGGTTTAAAGTCAGAAAATGTCTTTTAAGCAGAACAAAGGGGATACTGCATTTTAAAATCAGAAAAGGTGTATGTCAGCATTACATCCTTTTACCATCCTTAATCAATCTGTATATTGAGCACATAATCCAAGAAGCTGGATTATATGAGGAATGCAGTATTAGAACTGCAATATGGTGTTGGCAAATAAATCATAAAGGCACATGTACTATGAGAAGAACACACAAACCCGTTTTGGACGAAGTATAGCCAGAATGCTCTTTAGAAGTGAGTGTGAGGAGAGGTCAGCTCACACACTTAGGACTTGTTATGAGAGATGAGCCCTTGGAGGAGGACATCATTCTTGAAGTAAAGCTCAGCAAAATAGATGAAGGCCCTCAGCAAGGCGGACTGACACTGTGCTTGCAACAAGGGGATGAAGCACAGCAACAATTACAAGGCTGGCACAGGACTGGGCAGTGTTTCACTCTGTTGGGGACACACCAAGACATGGAGCTGGCTAGATGGCAACTAACCACACTATCACTTGGTTAGACTGGGAGCAGGTGGAGTGGTATTTAAGAAACATTCTGGAGAATACACTGAAGAAAGTTGGTGATAAACTACGTGCATAAGAGTGGAATTCTATAATGCATCCAGTTTCTCATTTCAATGGAAGGTGGTGCCATCATTTAAATGATGACAACTGCAATATGGTCAGACATGCAGGTGGAAATGACAGTAACCAATGGAAAATAGAGGTCCTTTACCAGGATCAATTAGCTTAACATAGCTCCTGAAGACAATGTTCTACATACTACTTGGGCAAGTATTGATTGGGTTCTTAATGAGCTTGCGAGCAGCCATCTAAGGTTCAACTATTGTTCTTAGTGTGGAAGAAAGATAATGATAAAAAATGGAAATATATGGAAACACTTAGACCAACCAATTGGCCATGTAAACATCAGTGTCCACAACCCTAGGAGAACTAGATGGTACCTGGCTATCACTACCAATTGCTCTGAAAAAGATGCTATTACAAGGTCCTGGACAGAGTAAGAAAAAACAAAAGTAGAACACAACTCAAAAATCGTAAAAGACACCAGGTTTACTGGTTGGATAGGGGTAGGTGGATCCCTGAGAATACAGCCCTTTATCACTTGTTCAGGAGTGGAATTGAACTCAGTTCTGTAATAGAATAAACAACCATTTCAGTTAAAAAAATTTTATGCAGCCACAAAGTTCAGAGAGTTAGGAGAGAGGAGGACTGGCAACAGGAAGCACAAGGAGACATGGGATTAAGTGATGACATACTGAGATGATCTAAATGGATGAGTTGAAACGAAATGTGTATGAATTGCTGGCTGATGATTTTTATCTGTAAACCTTCACATAATTCATAATAAAAAGTTAAAACAAACAATCAAAAAACTCATGGCACCAGGGACTTTGTATATGTGCTGGGACATGGTAAAAAAATCATTAATAAATGGATACTTACGTTAAAATTATTTTAAAAATATTTACTTACTAGGGGGTGTAAGTAATCTTATTTGGAAATTTAGGAGATTGCCTCCCCCCCCCACCATTGTCTTATTTTAGGCCCTAATTTTTAAGATCAGAGATTGTGTTGTACATTTCATATATATATATATATAATTTTAATCATTTTATTAGGGGCTCACACGACTCCCACCACAATCCACACATCAATTGCACAAAGCACACCTGTACATTCACCGCCCTCATCATTCTCAAAACACCCGCTCTCTACTTAAGCCCCTGGCATTAGGTCCTCATTTTTTCCCCTCCCTCCCTGCTCCCTCCTCCCTCATGAGCCCTTGATAATTATAAATTATTATTTTGTCATATCTTGCCCTCTCCAACGTCTACCTTCACCCACTTTTCTGTTGTCCATTCCTCAGGGAGGAGGTCACATGTAGATCCTTGTAATCGGTTCCCCCTTTCCAACCCACTCTCCCTCTACGCTCCCATTATTGCCACTCACACCACTGGTCATGAAGGGATCATCCACCCTGGATTCCCTGTTATTTCCAGTTCCTATCTGTACCAGTGTACATCCTCTGGTCTAGCCAGAGCTGCAAGGTAGAATTCGGATCATGATAGTGGGGGGTGGGGGGTGGTGGGAGGGAGGAAGCATTTAGGAGCTAGAGGAAAGTTGTATATTTCATCATTGCTATATCGCACCCTGTCTGGCTCTTCTCCTCCCCAAGACCCCTCAGCAAGGGGAATATCCAGTGGCCTACAAATGGGCTTTGGGTTTCCACTCTACACTCCTCCCATCATTCACTATGGTAAGCATGTTTTTCCCCTTTATGACAATTTATTAAAAATTCTAACTTAAATTTTTTGAAAAAAGAAAATGTAGGTCTTTATAGGAGGACTTAAGCAGCAGTTTTCAACCTGTGGGTCGTGACCCCTTTGGGGGTTGGATGACCCTTTCACAGGGGTCGCCTGATTCATAACAGTAGCAAAATTAGTTATGAAGTAGCAAAGAAAATAATTTTATGGTTGGGGGGTGGTCACCACATGAGGAACTGTATGAAAGGGTTGTGGCACTAGGAAGGTTGAGAACCACTGATTTAAGCTGATGTCCTTAGATCCCTGAGTGTAGGTAGACTTCAGACAGTCCCTCAATGTAGATGGGAAAAATAACATCCTTATTTTCACTAACTCAGCATTTCCTTCAGTTTTGACCACCAGCATGCACCACAGTCTATTAACACTGTCCGTGGTTGAGTCACCAACAGAAATCAAGATGGTTGGTCCTGGAGAAGAAAAAGAGAGGAACCATGCATGCACGGGAGAAGGGAGGGCAGAAGTAGAGGAAAATCCGAACCAAGAGTCATGAAAGGCCCTGAAGAAGATGGATTCAAGAAGACGGAAAAAGTCAAACATAATAAAAAGGTAAGTTCACGGATTCTGGCAATGAGGAGGTGTTCTCATGACAGAAACCAATTAATACTGGCAGCTACACAGGAACTTACATATAACCCAACAGAATCTTTAGAACCCGGCAAGTCAGGGAAAAGATATGCAAATGATAATAACTATGAGGCATACCTTGTAGCAGTGGCAAAAATTAAGGAGATGGCCAATATACCAAGACCTGGCAGGCATGTGGGACGGTTCTTCAGAAGGTATTTAGCAGCATCTAAAGAGGAGGCCCACTGAGCACGGCCATATGCAGATGAAGGACCCTGCTGAAATTCACTGACAGCGAGGACGCCCTGAAAGCACTGCTGCTGAAGTCTAACTTGAAGCATTTGCTGACGAAGAGCACACATACACTAGAGAGTGTAATCCACACACCTTCAGCACGGATTCAGTTTGAGTATACAGAAAATGACGATGATTATAACTCATGAAGAAGCAGTATTGCAATATATGGAGAAAAGCTGAAGTCAATAATTTCATTCTACTTGATCGACAATCACTATCTATACAAGTAAAGTCAACCAATCAAATGACACATTTCATAGGGCAAATCTGCCCGATGAAGAGCCTCTTTCATGCTTTCAAAAGCAAAGAAGTCATTTTGCTGCCTAAGCTGGGCCTGGACAAAGCCAAGGTTAGCGTACACAGCTATACTTGGCAGTCAGTATTTTATACTTAAAGAATTCAAAAAAGAAGGTATGATGGAGATTTAGTAAATTGTATTCTTTGTTAAAATTATGATGCTTCTGTACGGAGCTTAACTGCTCTTTGCTACCAGAGGATTATATTTTGTGTCTCAATGACCAAAGACCAGGCCACGTGACTACTTTCACAACTGAAATAGGACTGAAAGTGCGCAGCTTCTGAGAAGAAGCTC